AGAAAACCTCATATCTCCAAAATGGTAACTTTACAGGAGAAGGAAAAAACATACTTCACTTTCAATGTAAGTCAATGGAACCAGAGTTTTTTCCAAGTACTTTTGGGTCGTTTCTTTTGGTCCATACATAATGAAATTTACACACAATGTAAAGGGCAACAGGCATTTTCAAATTATGCCAACAACTGAAAAACGACAAAAATGGAGATACGAGGTTCCAACATCAGTGATATATTTAAACACCTATTTATTTGGACAGTAAGCATTTATTTGCTCAGAAAGAAATTATTTTGAGATTTTATGTACAACGTGTTCTTTTAACTATTTCCAAACCTCTCCCCGTGGAACCTGAGCATTATTTGCAGTTATCATCCAATACCCGGTTTATCAATACTTCATTGCGTTAAATTAAATATGCTGTTGATGAAATTTAACAAATTCATGTGACGGCTGGAGGCGCCCAGGAGAAATCTGGAGCCAATTATTCTTCAGATGAGCTCATAAGATATCAACTACTGTTTTCCAACTAAGGAATTTTTGCTACTTTTTATTATATTTATTTAAATGTTTATTTGCATTTATTCTAGTGATTTTACATGTAAAAACATTCTTAATGGTTAATAAATGGTTCTTAACAGGTGTGTTTACATGCTTATGTATGTGTGTGTGTGTGTGGAGAAAGGAGAGCTTAATTCCAAACATATTTTACAGTCAGTAGTGTTGTATGAACGTGGTGTAACACCAGTGACGGTGACTCCAGTAATAAAAATGATATTTGGCATTATTTTGACAACATTTTAATCACCCAGCCATTAAAGCATATAACACTGGTGGCACATAGTAGTTTTGAGCTGCCTGATAAACAAAATTATTAATAAATTAATGAAATATAGTGAGTGAGTGTGACTCGCCTTCTCAGGCCTTGATATGCTTCCTCTCTGATGAGCCTCGACCCAAAGAAGCAGTTTAATAGAGCAGAAAATACTGTGTTAAAATGTAACATAAGAGTCCTGAAAACACCAGTGACCAAAATCTCTGACACATGAATTTTTAAATAAAATTTATTAAATGTAGTATAACGTTAACGATATAAAAAGTAAACATGAGTCTGTTTTATACAGATTTCTAAGTTAAACTTTTAAAAATATTGTTTTATATTAAAAATGGTTTCTCAAATGTTAAAAATTGGTTTTGTGACGAGCTGTTTTACAGACGCAGAGCGTTTCAATTGGGGGATTTATCATAGAACTTTAGCTCAGCGTAAAGGGCAGCTGGCATATTGTTTAAAAACTACTTTAAAAACAAAAGAAAAATGGAGACAAAAAGTTTTCCTCCAACAGGGATGATCTGAAACTAAACATAACTTTATGCAACAAGTTTCTAAGTCTATACTTAACCTCAGTAACCAAAAGGAATTTTTTACCTGATATTCAGATCTTAAATGGGCTCATTTTTTCCCCCGAGGTCCCCTTGTGAGGGTTTAAGCATGAGAAACAGCCATAATTCATTTTTACATGACCATTTTAACCTCTTTTCATCCCTTAGAATCAAACAGGCTGTTTGTGTTACTGTGCTGACCTCTGTACTGACTGCCCTGTGTTGTGCCTCATTCAAAAAGCAGTCTCTGACTGAAACACTCCTTATAACTGTAGCATGAGTGGGTGGGGCTAAGATGCTGTAGGCTGAATAGGAGGTTAGACATAAAAGGCTTAGTTTTTAAAGACATCACAAAAAATGGACAGGCTGCTGACTGGCTACAGCTGCTAAAGTACAACCCTACGCTGGACACTTATATATTTTAAACATCTGGTATTTTTGCATAAATTATTATGACCGTATAGATTTAATAAAACAATAATGTGGTGGGTCCACCAGACCACTGAGTAGCAAACACATCAACACCACACAAGGGTTAAGATAAAGGTTGCTAACTAGTTCTTGTCTCGACCTTCAGAAAAACCTGGTATAGAATGTTGACATTGTGTGCAGGTTCTTTAAACTGGGCAAGTTAATTCAAATTCAAATCGGGCTGTTTATGCAGCTTAGTTTTCTTATATGGACTGTGACTTAAACTTTACCATATGACATCAAAAAAAAAAGCTTTGGATTGGAAAATTTGGTTTTCCATGATAGAGGCCCTTTAAAAAAATGAAACGTGTCGCTTTGGTAACAAAGGATTTTCCAAAGTTAGGAGCATTTTTCTTTGTTTTGTTAAACAAAATCATCATTTTTGCTCTGTAAATGTACAAAAACAAACCCACTCCCATCAGTGAGTGAGTTAAAGTGTGTGTGTGTGTGTGTGTGTGTGTGTGTGTGTGTGTGTGTGTGTCGGGGCGGGGCAGTCTTCAGACTGCCAGGTGTTCCCCATCAACGCCGACATTCATCAGAGACCTGTGGTCTTTCTGAGTCATCGCAGGAAGCGCAGGTACACACTCTCACTATGAGCCACATTATACCTGAAAGACACACACACACACACACACACACACACACACACACACACACACACACACACACATACACACACTCCAGCCCTTTTCCATGCGCATTAAAGCAATTGTTAAGTACCCACTGCAGGTAGGGCCACAGAAAGAAGGGCGTTCGCTGAAGGAGAGAGGGAGTGAGGTGAAAGCTGAACGCTGGCCGCATGGTGAAGGGTGAATAACCCTTGTTATTTCTGCATTGCATTTTTTTCGCTCACCACTGAAAGAGTGGGTTCCAATTAAGTCCAATTAGGGCCTTTCAGGGCCTAATGAGGAGCCACGCTCACAAGCGTTTGAGAGGCTTGACAGACGCATGCACGTTTACACACTTGTGCATTTGTGCACACACCCAGGGACATTTTTACCCCAAGTCAGATTACTATAGAGACAAGCAGCCTTCTAAGACTTTTAGAAGTGATCCGACAGAAAATGCGGCAGAAAGGAAGAGGAATCGGGCCTCACTCGAACAGTGGAGAGCATGACACGACCCTGCATTCACAAAAAGAGAAAAACTCTAATCACTAACCACACACACACACACACACACACACACACACACACCAGCACACAAAGAGCGCCACTCCTCTCCGTTGTGTGAGCGACAGCTGCATGCTTCCGCCTCTCTCGGTTGATTAGGGGCTGAAGAGAACCTGTCCAATCAGGCCTTTTCACCGTGCCCCTGCGTTCACACAAGAACTCTGCAGCCTCGCGACCTCTCGCAACCCCGCTCCCGCCCCTTCACCTTGACCTTCACTAAACGCCCCTGCCTTCAAGGGACACTCCGTCTCTGCGTCCAATCACAAAAAAGGGGCCTCCACTAACCAATTAGACCCTCGACCACGAGCAGGACGCCACTCCAAAGCATAGCTAATTAAAAAATCAAGTGCAAAGCTTCAGGCTCAAAAGTAAACAATGGCGGAGAAGGACGGCAGGCCGGCCGACGTGTGGATGTCTGTTTGTGCACAGAGTTTCAAATTATGCTGGTTGTGCCCAGTCAGTGGACAAAAGAGGGGAATGGTTTTTGATTCTTGATTCAGATGCCTAATTAGGCAGGGACACAAAAATAAACAGTGCATTAGTTTGAGGGGTTTTCTGTTCTGGGGGGCACCGACCATATTGTGAAGGTTGGTTCGTATACATAACACTTTATTAAAAGTATAAAAATACTTTATTAATGATACATTTGTACTCCTTTCACTCCCTGTCATAACTAATTGTTCCATCTCCAAAATGGTAGCATCATAGGAGAAGGAAAAACACTCGGCCTCCTTCACCAACCAGAGGAAAGAAATCTTCAGAAGAAATTTCTTCTTAAACCCCACGTACGCAGTTTTCATGAAGACTATGACATTCACCAATGTTTTCTTATCCGGGATTTGTTCTTAGGTAAAAACAGAATCTACACACACTCAAGAGCACAAACGTCTGAACAGTTCTGCAGTTTAAGAACAGGACATCAATCTGACGGAGGCTTTTTCTTAGGACTTTTCTCAAGAACACAATGAGGCCCAGTGTAATGAAATCCTATTCCGCATTATCATAGGCCATTTCTGTTAGTCTATTTGTCATTTGTCATACAATACTCACACATTATAAAGAGTGCATATATATATATATATATATATATATATAGGCAGGAAACAACCTATATCTTATCACATATATATGTAATTAGGAATTTTTTGATGTGATAGTGACAACGTACTCATTTTCCTTCACATTTTTTTCTGCTTTAGCATATATTAACTGAAAATAAACCCAGTGTATACCCAGTAATAATGTGGTGACTCTGTTATCACCTTCTAAATTATTTGGTTCAGGCTAGTCTATACTATCTATACTATCTATACTATCAGGCTAGTCTATACTATCGATATGGACAGGGCTGATTTTCATAGTGATAAGATTTCAAATATAGACTTTTATATTCTGGGGATGGATGAGTGCAATGTTTCAGATGTGCACGTCACCCATGCCATGTGCACTAATGCACCCCCAACATACAGAACGTTCAAGAATGTATATATATATATATATATATATATATATATATATATATATATATATATATATATATATATATATATATATATATATAACCACATAGAACACATTCTCCATCAATCTGAAAGCAATATAGTTGTGTTTTTATTATATTTCAAGGTGGATTGTATTAAATTATGACACAAATTTGGCACTTTTCTTTTAAAATGCAAATCCTCATGCATTGTGTTTTCGGTAAAGAGGTCAAGCGATGTGAAAGCAATGTAATAGATAGCCTTCTTTTTGGCACATATTTTGCATGACACTATAGAGCAGCAATGTCGTGTGTACATTGCATTTCACATTTGTCCACTGCAGTGATTGCTTTTCAACCTGGCACAAACTCCCCTCCATGATCATGCTAACATTATGAACAATGAATAAAACCTAGTCGACATGAGGAAATTCTGTTGATTTCATACCATGTTAATGTTTTCAGGTGAAGGCTGCCTTTAGAACAGCAGATATACTCACAGTCCTCAAACCTGGAGCAACTACTTGACTTGCTGGGCTGAGCTGCCTCGTATCCTTCCTGCAACTTGGAGTAAATCTGCAGCGCCTTGGTCTTGCGCTCCTCTCCCTTCTCTCCAAGCTCCTTCCTCTGACGTCTCCTCCTCCTGTCTTTGAGTTGGTTACGGCCTCTTCGGCCCGTCCAAGGTCGATCCCTTCTTGCCGGGCAAGCCAGCTTCTGAGAGGTGGCCTCTGTCACTGCGGCTGCTGGGTCTTCTTTGGATTCTAAAGGGGACAAAACAAAACGTGACTTCTGCAAAATATACAAATGCAAAGCATGATACATTTCCGAGAACTTTTTGAGGAACTTTATTGCTCAAATATTGCTCTTTGATGGAGACTCAGTGATGATTCTCCTAAAATTCCTCAGGAGTAGCAGCATTAGGTATAAAGGAGACATGAGATACAGGAGAGGTGAAGGAAAGATGAGAGTTCAGTTGTGGTTTACGATGAATGGTCTTATCTTCAAAATCGAGCACAGTGTGAGACTTAGGCTCAATCCCATTTCTTATTTTTACCCCTACCCCTTGTTTTCGAGTGTCTCCTTGCCCCTTGGAACTGAGTTACGAAGGGTAGTGGTTGAAATCTTCCCTCTGAAATGGGACCCTCAAATAAAAAGAGCATCACTTCATTAACAGCTACCAGCGCTGCTCTGTAGGCGACCCTGCCAGTCTGCAGTGACAGCAGAGGAGGCTAAAGTTCAGCTCCTCACTGCTGGGCTTTAATTACATTTAGGGAATCATATGCCTTCAAAGAGGGGGGCAATTATTTATTATCGCCCACCCCTAATCCTTCAGTGATATGAAGCTGAATTCAGATATTCACCAGCTTCTTGTTTGAATTTTCCTGTTCCACCTTAAATGGTGCAGCAGTTACATTCTAGCACCACAAGTGTCAGAACTGCTGCACCATTTAAGGTGGAGCAGGAAAATTCAAACAAGAAGCTGGTGAATATCTGAATTCAGCTTCCACCATTTAAGGTGGAACGGGAAATCTAGTTAGCTAGCTACCGAGATATTAGCATACTACCAATGATTTTTATGTTTGTTATGAAGAAAAGGACCATAATACATTGAAACAACGGTGGTTATCGTAATTTTTAAACTGAGAAAATTCTCACATTTGCGGGTTTCTTTGGTCTCTTGTTCACCCGTCTTGCCGGTTTTTCTCTTTTTCTCATATCACTCTGTTTGGAGTCTCTGAAAAACCTCCGTTTGGAGGGTCATGTAGCCCCAGCACTTCACCCTCCCCCCCTCTCTCAACAACAATCAGGACACCCTACCCCTAGACATGAACATGCAAAATGGAGGGGTAGGGCTAAATGGTAGGTGCGAGGGGTGAAATGGGATTGGGCCTTAGTAGAGATCTCTACTGAAACTCAAGATGTGAGATTACTGAGCTCTTTTGCTCAGGGGAAACACTGGAGCAGCAGGAGAGACATAAGCCTTTAAAGTCGTCTTTGTCTCACCAGCTGATCCCATTGTTGTCCAGCGATATTAAGGAGTGTCCTTTTTTATTTAGCTTATTTTTGTGGGTAATTACATCGGAAATGGCTGACATAAACAAATGTCCACTTCTGGTGCATTATTGAGTAGTGGTGCCAACAGAGCACACCAAATTTCCAAAATTCATTTCGTGGAAAATGAAAATGATACTATTTCAGGCATCCTTACTGTAGCGTCAGTGAAGAAGAATACACGAGAAATATTGCACTTTAAAGGCGAATACTCTTTTATTATAAAGACAGCAAGGGAGAGCCGCCACTCAGCACCAGTTAGGCGGCAAGGAAGGTCACTTTTAGCCATAGGATTCCTCTCTACGGTAGACACTTAACCCCACTAACCCCACAACCCAGCACAATAAAGCACACCATACATAAATACGTTAAACTAGCATTCACAACTACAACGAACGTCTTTATTGGAAGTGCAACGCCTCCCGAGAGCCTCTTTGCATGGCTGCTTTGCATGGACACATCTCCTGTGCTCCTACAGCAGCGTGGCCAGTCGTGGGACGGCACATTATTGTATAGTGCTACATCTATACCAACTTCAACATGCTGAATAAGTGATTCCCTTACCCTCGATTCATTTTCCTCTAGCTTCTCATATTCTCATTTCTGCCCCAGAAGCTATTTCTTCCCCCTTGTGATGCACCTCTGTTCCAATTTGCTCTCCTCCTGTAACATCCCCATTAGCACTATGCTAAAAGATGTATTAGGTAGGTAATTTACGAGTGGCCCGCAATTAGAGCTCCATTAACACTCTCAGCAACCTCTTCCCAAAGTGTTTCCTGCTCTCATTACACAAAGAGTAAGATGTGAACCTGTGGGGGGGCTTTCACTATTGTGTTTATAGCCTTACTTAACAGTACAGCACTGACTTTTGCTTTTGTGTTCCTGCACAAACGAGGAAAGACAGCAGCAGGGTCTGCTGTAAATGTTAGGTTGTTTATTAGAAATATGTAAACCAAGTATTTATGCACAGCAAATTCAGACAGACTGGTTTAGGCCATGTCTTTGGAAAGGCTGAGGTCTTTTACAGCAAGCTAAACATCTTTATTAAAGCACTTTTACTCAGGTTATTTTGTCAGATCATTAAACTGTATCGCATGTAAATCTCACGTGTGCTTTAGCGTTTCAAACTGCAATCAGTCCCTTAAAGGAGGGACCATAGTTTTCCACTTACACCAAATGCAGTTAATGTTTGGAGCCCTTTACGTTCGCTTCTTTAGTTTAGAACTGGAGCGGCAAGGCTGACATTGCTAACAAACAATAGAGCTAGAATAGTCACCCAAACAGCCCAAATCATTTCTGTAAAAATACATCACCCACACAAACTATCCAGGTCTTTAGTTTGACAGTATGACTTACTGTGAACTATAAAAATGAACAAAACTGCAGGGATCCACTTTAGACGCTACTTGGCTGCCTGTATTATCCATCCATCCATCATCTAAACCGCTTATCCTTCTGGGTCACGGTGGGGTGCTGGAGCCTATCCCAGCTGTCATTGGGCGGAAGGCAGGATACACCCTGGACAGGTCGCCAGTCCATCGCAGGGCAGACAGACAGACATACACATTCACACACACACACTCACACCTAGGGGCAGTTTAGCATGTCCAAATGGCCTGACTGCATGTTTTTGGACTGTGGGAGGAAACCGGAGTACCTGGAGGAAACCCACACAGACACGGGGAGAACAGGCAAACTCCACACAGAAACGACCCTGGTCACCCGGCCGGGAATCGAACCCAGGCCCTTCTTGCTGTGAGGCGACAGCGCTACCCACTGCGCCACTGTGCTGCCCTGCCTGTATTAGTGAGGTTTTATTTATTTTTATAACTCACAGTCATACTGTGATCTAAACCACATCAACAAGTCTGCATCACCTTAATAAAGGCCTAAAAGTGGTTCGAGCTGGTTGATAGAAGTTGTAGGGACGCATTTACAGAAAAGATTTGGGTGACTATTGACTTCTAGTGTTTGTTAGCTATGTTGGCCTTGTAGCTCCAGTGCTAAACTAAAGAAGCAAAATTTGGACACCAAACACATCTTGGATGATCAGCTACATCTAAGTGGAAAATTGGGTAGACATATTTTTTATTGAACGATTCCTGTAAATATAGACTGTATTGAATTTATCATTTTTATACAACAGTTAGTTCCGGCCACGCAAGCTGATTGGTTGAGAAGCGTTCTAACAAACACTGTATCACTCCACTGAGACGCCGCTGCTAAACAACGACTTTGACAGCTGTAGGAGACGCTCAAGCCATTTGAACATTTTTACTTCTTACTTTGCCACAAACAGAAAATGGATACTTTTAAGATCACATTTGACCGACAGCCGATTTGGTCAGACTCTGAAGATGAGACGACACTGAATTCCCAAACTGTCATCACCACTGAGCAGCTTTTCAGTCGGCAGCTGTGACAGAAGAACAGCTAAACAACCTGGAATCAGCCAGAAATGAACCCAATACCATTCGCCAAACTAAATGGGCTGTAAGCTGCTTTACAGACTGGCTGGAACAAAACAACATTAATATTGATCTGGCAAAAATTGACAAAACTGAGCTAAACTTGATATTGCAGCAGTTTTATGGTTCAGTCTGATCTGGTCAGACTCTGAAGATCAGACTACACGTTTGGCGAATGGTATTCGGTTAATTTCTGGCTGATTCCAGGTTGTTTAGCTGTTCTTCTGTCACAGCTGCCGACTGAAAAGCTGCTCAGTGGTGATGACAGTTTGGGAATTTAGTGTGAGGAGCTGGAGAACGAACTGCCGGCTGTGCAGCGAGTGGGCGGAGCTCGTTACTCTGACGTAGCAACAAGCTGCTTGTTAAGGAACTATAATTTGGTGAAGGAACTGCGAACATTAAAACATATTAAACGCCGCGTTCACAGCCCAGTTTATTAATTTATTACTTTATTTATTTAACTGCTGTACAAAAGCAATAGAACTGCTAGAAGTGTTATCGGCAGTAACATTACGGCTGTGATGATCTGCGACCAAATCACAGCCGTGATGTTATTTTGTGATAACACATTCCCTCTCGTGTTCTATTGCTTAAATATTTTAGATACATTTAAGCTCAGGATCCTGATAATGCACTCCACTGCTATCGAGAACAGCCATGATATTGTATGTCATTCTTCAGACTGCTGATCCTTTGACAGTCCGCAATCAAAATGCTATAAACTGCTGTCATTTGTCTGTTTCCCTCTGAAATATCAAGCAGAATGGACAACGGCATGTTTCATTAACCACCTTTTCTTTCAAGACAGAGCTTCCAGCTGCTCCTCTGCTCTCAGCCTGGATCTGGTTCTAGCTTCTCTTTCAGATTCTGAGCTGTGTTGTTTAACTTCATACATCACACTGTCTCTCGCACCAGCTAGTGGGAAAATATGGGGCACGGTTTGTGCTTTAATGACACAGCAAATGAGACATGACAGTAATGATTAAGCGCTTACTCAACATCTTTAAACACCTCTTTACTGATCTGTGATCTAGAAACGGAAGAGAGGGTTTGAAAGTCATGTAAGTTGCTCATCCACGCCAGTAATATATGAGTACATTGAGAAGCTTTGTGGCTTGTTTTGCACAAAACACAGCATTTCTTCCTATTAGGGCTTCCTCTTTTCCTCACTTAAAAAAAAGAGTTGGATGTTGTACTCTCTTTAAAAAGATGCTTCTTCAAAGTTTCTTAAGTAAAGAAAA